ACACAGTCAAATGCCTTTGCATAGTCAATGAAACACAGATAGACATTCTTCTGGTATTCTCTGCTTTCAGCTAAGATCCATCTAACATCACCTACAATATCTCTAGTACCATGACCCCTTCTAAACCCAGCCTGGACTTCAGGCAGTTCTCTGCTGATGTACTATTCCAGTCATTTTTGGATAATCTTCAATAGAATCTTGTTCACATGTGAATATTATAAGCATTCAGTAAAAGTTAACTTCACATTACTCCCTGTGTCTCCAACCCCTCTTCCTCCCAACTAGCCATGCTCCACACTCAATTCTTGCCTAATTAATGTCCATTAATTTTCTCCCAACTTGCTCACTTCCCTCTCTCTTCAGCCACACTTTCTCACTTCCCAATCATTCCTCAACTCTCTAGGAACTTGTTCCAGCTTTGGTAATTCACTAAGGATTTTCATGTGGTCCTATTTGATATGTACTTCCTATCCTCATCTTATTGACTATGATCCCTTCTTCCTGAGGACAGAACACCCTTCTACTTCTCTTTCTGCATCTCTGACTATATCAGATTCTTTCTGCATTTACTATTGATTCCTAGCTCTCCCCATTGCTCTCCATCCTGCCTATGCCTGCCTTAGGCCATGTCTGGCATCTAAATCTTTATTTCTAGCTCTGATAGTTCTGTAGAGTTTCAGAAGTTTAGCTGCTTGCTGAGTCTCTCCCCTGAGAAATCCAACATGCTTCTCAACTCACTATGCCTAAAATGGAAATCATCCTTTTGTTTTTTCATCCAAGACTTGTTTGCCATTTGTATGTTTACTTCTTTATTTACTAATGGTAAGGTGCTATGCTGCCAACTCAAAGGCGATTCGAATCCACTAGTTGCTCTGTGGGAAAAATATGGACAATCTCCTCCCACATGATTTACTGCCTCTGAAAACTTGCTGGAGGGTCAGCTATGCATTGTTTCAGTTTGATGATACATAACAACAGTAACAGTTGTCATTAAATTTATAACTTTTCTCCTAAAAGCAAACAATCACCAAGTCCTATTAACAGATCACTTTAACACTTCCTAAGACTAACTTTTCCTCTTTTTCTACTTTTCAAGTCCAAGGCTTCACCATCCTTGCCTGGACTGTAACAACAATGCCTTGTCTCTGACTTCAATCTTAAGTCTGTCTTGACTCCCACCGCCACAATCTACCATATTGTTAATAACATAATTAATTTAAACTGCAACTCTATGTTAAAACTTACAAATAACAAAACAAATAAAGCACACAGTCCTTGTCAAGGCCTATAAATTTTCCATGGAAGAGAATGAAGGAGCAGGGAGTAAAATTTAATAAAGCAGAAGCTTAGGTGAAGTGAATAACAATATAATATGTAATATTATAATATATTGCATTGGGAAAGTCAGGTGTCAGGGACCTCTCAAGAGTACTGAAAAGCAACGACTTTATGCTGGAGACTAAGGTGCACCTGATACAGGCTACAGTCTTCGTAATTGTGTTCTATGCATCGGAGAGCTGGATAGTGACTAGGGATAGAAAGAGAATATCACTTCACAGCCTTTAAGCTGTGGTGTTAGAGAAGAGTGTTGAATATACCATGGACTGCTAGGAGAACAAACAGGTTTGTCCTGGAGAGGGTGAAGCCGAGCTACTCCTTGGAGTCAAGGATTCTGAAGCTTCGTCTGACATACTTTGGGCATGTTGCAAGGAGGGACCAGTCCTTGAAGAGGGGCATCATGTTCGGAAGAGTGGAGGGACAGTGGAGTAGAGGAAAACCCTCAAAGAGAAAGACCGATTTAGTGACTGGGGTAGTGGGAATAGGTGTGTCAGAGACAGGTTGGCACAGGATAGAGCAGGGTTTAGGGCTCTTGTACATAGTTGCTATGAGTCACAAGTGACTCAACAACACACATAACAACAATAACATATTATATAATCAGACATTGTAATTCATTAATTACATTAATCAACCATAATGTTTATGTGCTCTAGTGGCCTAGTGGTAGGAAACTGCACTGCAATCCCAAAGGCAAGCAACTGGAACCTACCAGCTGCTCCGCAGAAGCATAGGCAATCTCCTCTATGTGATTTATTGCCTCTGAAAAATCCACTGGAGGGACAGCTATTGGTTGGTTTCTACTTGACAGCATACAATAACAATGGTTATGAAACAAAATGTGTATAAATGAATGGATGAAATATGAATATGATTGATAAGTTTTCATGCATATAAAAAATTAAATGCTAAAGTGAAACAGCCCGCAAATTTTCAGATATGATTCTAACTCATCTTTCCAGATTTACCTACCATTAAGACTCTACAATCTGTTTTGATTTTCTCATCCCATGCTTTTATTTTTTAAAATTATTTTCATGTGTGTACTGTCAAATCAGATCTGACTGGTACTGGAGGAGATTGTCCCTCCTTCTCCAGCAGAGCATCTGGTGGATTTGAACCGTCCATGCTATTTCTATACTTTCTATCTATACCATCATTGAGTTCTTTTTTTGTTATTTCTTAATTTCAATGAAAATTTACAGAGACTTTGGATTTCCATTCATTCATTGTTGCACTTTTCTCCCCTCCCAACCTTCCCCCCCAGTACACTACCCTCTTGGAAAAGTAAAAGAAAAATTCTTTGTTTTACAATCCCTCCCCCCAGGTCCACTCCACTATGCAGCCTTCGCTCTGGACTCCTTTCATGACAAAAATACCTAATCACATATCCCTTTTAGACAGTTTTCTCCCTTATCTGTTTCAATGCAATATACATTATTGAACCCATCTTTCTCAGTCTCCCCCCAACCCCAATATCAGTCCTGTTTTACAACAGTGGCACCATGCAGTATTTGTCCTTTTGTGACTGAGATACTTCACTCAGCAGAATGTCCTCCAGGGTCACCCATTTTTAATAATATTGCATGAGTTCCTTGTTTTTCAATGCAGCGTAGTATTCCATTGTGTGTATATACCACAGCTTCTCTATCCATTCCTTTGTTGATGGGCACTTAGGTTGTTTCCAACTCCTTGCTATTATGAACAAAGCCTCGATAAACAGGGGTGTGAAGAGTTCTTAGGTGGTATAAATAGTTAAGGAGTTCAGGGACTATCAACCAGTTGGGAGTTTAGACCCACCCAGTTGTTGTTGTTGTTAGGTGCCTTGGAGTATGACCCATAGTGACCCTCCCAACAACAGATCTCAACCCTGTCCTATCCTGTTGCCATGCTCACACTTCCTGACACATTAGATCCCACTGCCACAGTCATGGTCTCAATCCACCTGGTCAAGGGTCTTCCTCTCCTTCACTGACCTTTCCAAGCATCATGTCCCTCTCCAAGGAACAGCCCTTCTTTCTTTCAAAAAAAGGCATGTCAACTTATTACAGAAAAATCAGCCACGTTGTTGTTGTTGTGTACCCTCAACTGACCCACAGGTGACCCTCTGGTTTTTAGAGGCAGTTAATCACATGGGAGGAGAATGCCCATCCTTCTTCCACAGAGCAGCTGGTGGATTCAAGCCACATGCCTTTGGGACAAAGCTTCTTGCCACTAGGCCACCAGAGCTCCCTAAAAATCAGCCAGTGTTGTTTGTACTGTCAGTTTGCTTGGACTCATAGAGGCTCTGAAGCCTGCCCTGTCCTGAGCCAGTCTCACTGACTTCCACACACCTACCTCTACTGCCCGTTACTGTATCAATCCATCTCCTCCAGGGTCTTCTTTATAGTGACAATGTAGGGTTACTATGGATTGATATGGTTTTATAAGAGGTGGTTATAACTTTTGCTGAACACAGTAACTCTAACCATAATGCCTTTATTTTCTTCTCCTTATCACTCAGCTCAGGTATACCTGCATCAGGAACCAAAAGAGGGTAGCCCTTCCCAAACAATAAACAAAAAATACTTGTTATCTAGTAAAGTTTAATAAACAGGTAACTATGTGAAAGGAAAGGCAGCACACAACAAAGAATATATTAGTATATACCCAGTATACAATGTTGTTGTCAGGTGTCATCGAGTCCAGTAAGACTCATAGCAACCCTATGAACAGTGGATCTGAACCCCATCCTTTCCTGCACCATCCTCACATTTCCTGACACACCAGAGCCCATTGTGGCAGTCACCCTGTCAATTTACCTGGTTGGGGGTCTTTCTCTCCTTTGTTGACCCTCCACCCTTCCAAGCATCATGTCCTTCTCCAGGGAAAAGCCAAGCCCATCCTAGCAATATGCCCGATATATGTGAGGCAAAGCCTCCTCATCCTTGCCTCCAATGAGTAAAACTGTGGTCCACTGCTGTCTATGACTGTGACCTGTACATGTACAAGACTTTCTTTCAAGGTGCCTATAGGACCTTTCAGCTAGTAGCCAAATCTACGGTGAGACGTCTTGCATCCCAAAACACAGAACTAAATCACTACTCTTTTTCTGGATTTTTGTGTATAATAGTTTTGATGTTAAATATTACCTAATCAGTTATGTTTACATAAAATAAAGCTTCAGGGCAGAAAGCATGCTTTATTTATATTTGTCTCCTTATGACAAATGCCCAAGTAAATCTTTATCAAGCTCTTATCCCCAGACACTCACAAACATAGCGGGAAAGAGTAAACTCAGGCACTGGGATGCAGACAATGAATCTTCCTGATTGGGGGTTCTAAGGTCACAGGAGGGTGAGTAGGACTCATCTGTAGCAGGACTATGACTTCCAAAAGCAGCTCTTTTTCAGGTTATTTGGCCAACATGTTAATAATCTAGAAGTGAAATAACAAGCTCGGGTGAACACCTAGGCCCTCGGGCGACAGCGGCTAGTGTAAATGGCTGGCGAAGAGACAAGATTCTGTCAAAGTTTCCGCGGCCCCATCGCCCTATCGCTTTCCCGCTGGAGGCTGCGCCCAGCGCCTCGGGCTGCCAGGATGCCTCACCTCGGGCTCCTTGGGTACCGCAGACACTCAGCCTCCAGAGCGCAGCCATGACTGTCCTTTGGGCTCAAGGTCACTCAACAACCCGGAAGCATTCATGTAGCAACGCCCTCCTCATAACGAGGCAGCGGCAGGTGCTGAGCGAACCGGAAGTCGGCTGGGGTAGCTCGCGCCGGCGCACTTGCGCGTTTGACAGGAGGCGGCGAGGCTTGGCAGCGATGGCGGATCTGGGGGAAGCGGATGAAGCGGAGTTGCAGCGCCTTGTGGCGGCGGAACAGCAGAAGGCACAGTTCACGGCACAGGTACCTGGAAGGCCGCGGCCCTGGAGTGGGAAGGGGAAGGAAGGTGTAACGCAGATTCCGGGCGCCCGCGGGGTTCCTCAGTGAAGCCAACGACTCTGCTGCGCCTCTTTCTCTTCAAAAATTACGGCCATGCCTTTCCCTGGCGGGGTCCGAGAGGTGCTTCGGTGCCCGTGGAGCCAGCCCAGCGTGGAGTGAAGACTGTAAAGCAGAGGAGAGCTTTGCGCGACTCAGAGGGACGGGGGGCTAGCATGGCGGCCAGGTGTGGAAAGCTCTGCATTCTAGTTTTCTATCAGCCTCCTACACGCACTTGCCCTTAAATTAGTTGCACACGGGTAGTCCTGGACGTAGGAGGCACCTCTTGTACGGTTAACCAGCCATTTGTTGGTTGCTTGCTTGGTAGCTTCTTCTCGTTGATAACGTGTCGCTCACTCAGTGCTGGGGAGTTGGGACTGACTCATTCATAACTGACCCTGCATTGAGTTTGCTCGAGGCTCCAATCACACGGAAGAAGATTGCCCATCGTTCTCCCTGTAGGAGCAGCCGGTGGCTTCGAACCACCAGAAAGGCATACCCTTCAGGGGGCCGGAGAGACCTCAGTAATGAGGACCCAGTGCTGTAACCCACCGCTCATAGGGATCATGTGGGAAGGTGATGTGGGGACACATACCAATCATGCTAAGCAGCGGAATTTTTGATGGGGAAGAATGTGAAATTATTCCCTACAGTTTAGGAAACACAAGGAAGCCAGTGCTTATCTATTCTGGCACATACTTGGCATAAGTTGATATTTATATAAAAAGTTCAGACTTTTAATAGTTGTTGTTATGTGCCGTCGAGTCGTTTCCGACTCATAGCGACCCTATGCACAACAGCCCTAAACCCTGCTCTATCCTGCACCAACCGCACCGCCTCTGACACACCCATCCCGATTACCCCAGTCACCGAATCAATCCATCTCATAGAGGGTCTTCCCCTCCTGCGTTGTCCCTCAACCCTCCCAAGCATGATGTCCCTCTCCAAGGACCTGTCCCTCCTGGCAACATGTCCAAAATATGTCAGACGAAGCCCCAGAATCCTTGCCTCCAAGGAGTAGCTTGGTTTAATCCTCTCCAAGATGAATCTGTTTGTTTTCCTGGCAGTCCAGGGTACATTCAGTACCCTTCTCCAGCACCACAGCTCAAAAGCATCCACTCTCCTTCTGTCCTCCCTAGTCATTGTCCAACTCTCTGATGCATAACAAGCGATTGCAAATACCATGGCCTGTATCAGGCACACCTTAGTCTCCAGAGAGACACTGTTGCTCCTGAGTACCTTAGAGAGGTCCCTAACAGCAGACTTTCCTATCGTAATACGCTTTTTGATTTCCTGACTGCTGGTGCCAAGAGTGTTGACTGTGGAGCCGAGCAAACTGAAGCTGTGAACACTCTCAATCTCTTCGTCATCCATCCTGATGCTGCCAATTGTTCCAGTGGTGAGAATCTTTGTCTTCTTGACATTGAGCCTTAGTCCATATTGGAGGCTGCAGTCCTTGACCCTTCGGAGCAAGTGCATGAGGTCCTCCTCAGTTTCAGCAAGCAGGGTTGTGTCATCTGCATAACGGAGATTGTTACTAGACCTTCCACCAATCCTGATGCCACAATTCTCCTCATAGAGCCCAGCCTCTCTGATAATCTGCTCTGCATAGTTACAAATAAAAATTATTCTTTCTGGGGGTGGGGAAGTAGTAATACTGTGATAAAAAAAGTCGTATTTTAGTGTTGTCGCAAATAACATGACTGAACCGCTGGAAGGGAATCCCAGTTGTAGTTAAGGGCTCCCTGTGGTTGGTAGCGATGTAGTAAGGCCTCCGGGATGAGCAGTGAGAACCCTAATTAGAAATACAGGCATAGGTAGGTACCATTCTGATGCACACCTTTTATGGGCCTGTGTGCATGTTTTTCTGCTGAGCAGAACCAGGAAGGCTACTGTCCTAGGGGTAGGGAGCTCTGATGGTCTAAGAGTTGCTCTATCCTGCTTCTAAAAACTATTGGAGGGCCAGCTATTCCAGAGTTAACCAGTTTGAATCCACCTCAAGAGAAAGAAGGGCATTCTCTTGAAATTTACCACCTTTGAAAATCCAGTGGAAGGTCTGCTCTAGGTCAATGTGAGTTGTTTGTTGTCTCCAAGTTGATGGGTCCTGAGTAAGAGATGGGGTATTCAGTGTACATCAGTGCTTGCAGATGTTAACATTTACCATCCAATCAGAATCAGTAGGGGGAGGGAAAGAGTTGATCCTATGGGAAGTCACTTAATCCAATTAAGAACTTAACATTATCTATTAGAAAGCTACATAATATGTAGTCACAGAACAACTCATTTATTTTAAATTATTGAGTACTAAATAACAGGTCAGACAAGGCAGTTATCAATGGTCTTCAAGGAGGTAGGAATTTAGAGACTTTGGATAGTCTAGTCTTAAACTCTGGTGGCCTAGTGGTAGGTAAGAAGCTGCACTGCATTCCCATAGGCAGCAGTTTGAATCCACCTGCTGCTCTGCGAGAAGGCTCCTGTTATTTCCTGCTTCTCAAAACCACTGAAGGGCCAACTCTGAGTTGATTCCAACTCAGTGGCACCTAACAACAACATATTAAAGCAAACATAGGAGTGATCTGATGGGAAGTAGTTGAGGAGGAAGGAAAAAGGATTTTGTTGCCATCTAGGGGTGAGGATCTGGACTATCTTAGTGAAAATATGAGAAGTCAGGAGAGAGGGCTCAGCTTGACTGAAAGAATGATTTTGTAAGTTTCAGAAAATTGGGACAATGGTGGGGGGACACAATTTTGTCCTATTTCTACAGATCCAATGGTTACTGCTTTTCTTTCCTCTTATTAGGTGCATCATTTCATGGAACTATGTTGGGATAAGTGTGTGGAAAAGCCGGGGAATCGCCTAGACTCTCGCACTGAAAACTGTCTCTCTAGCTGTGTGAACCGCTTCATTGATACCACCCTTGCCATCACCAGTCGGTTTGCCCAGCTTGTACAGAAAGGAGGGCAATAGGCCATTTGGTGGACCATGACAGAAGCTGCAAAGGACTTGTTATTAAAGTGCTAATGGAATATGGATGTCATCCCATTGCTGTGTTAACATCAGGCTGTTAGCAAGCCTCTTGGTGCTAAAAAGTAATAGATCAAGTGTGCAAAAAGGGTTAAATTTATTTGAAATTCAGAAATTCCAGATTGTATAACATCAGTCAATAAATGTGAATTGTCCAAGTCTCTTTGTAATCCCATTTTAAGACTGGATTAATATAGGTATCTCTAACTGGTAGAAAAACTAGAAATAACTGTTCCATGGGGCAAATGGGAATAGGACTTCAAATTCTGAAAAGCCTTATTTAAGAGGCTTGAAAAACTAACAAAACTTTAGCTAAGGCAAAGATGAGTTTGATGTTAAAATACATGAAGAAGAGTTTTATTGCTCACACATGACCCAGAAAAGGTAAACATGGCCCCAGAAAAGAATACACAAGATGCCATATTAGTTGGGAAAGAGACAGGCCTCCTAGTATTAGAAGGGAAGACCCAAATGGAGCCACGTTCTAGAGATGCCTTGTTCCCCTAGACCACCTTCCCCACTGTGCTTACAGTCAGAACAGTACTTTTTACAGCATAGAAATAATGGTAAAACTCAACAAAGATTTCACCTACTCCAAGAACTTAACAGTTGGTTTACATTAAGAGGTAGTAATTAGACTTATGTGTTCCCTTAAGCCCCCACTAATACCAAAGATACAAATATATACCATATTAAACGGACAGGTACTACGGTTGTAATATTGCAAATAAATATCCCTTAGGGTAGCACCTACTCATAATTTAAGAGATAGGGAGCCTCCGGCCAACTGTTATTGCAAGACTAAGCACTCTATTAGAAATGTGTAAAGAAGAAAAATTTAGTAATGAGAACTGGAAGATATTACCACCCCATGGAATGCTGACATAGTTCTGATCTGTTGCTGGTGTTGTATGCTGTTATGCTACTATGGAGGAAATAACTTGGGGAAGAGGAGACCGAGGAGGTTAACTTTTCTCTCATCATAAAAAAAAAATTCACTTGTGTTCTGCCTGTCTTCTATGATCATATTTTGGGTCCTAAGGAATTGACATATTAAAGATCATACAATATTTAGAAATGTAGCTTCTGCCTAGAGTTTTGGTAAAAAGGCAGACTGAAGTGGTGGATATGTCCCTGAGAATCCTGTTTGATTTTAGCACTGATTCCACTTCATTTCAAGGAAAATCTGAAGTTTGTTAGCAGATTGAGAAATGAACACAGAAAACAGCCTTTTAAATTGCACCTGCAACCCTGAAATCCTGTTCAGAGCACCATTAAACAATATTACTAATTCCTAGTTTGTCCCCATTTGGTTAAGAGTTATCTAAGAACTTCAGAAATAATTTGCAAGCATAAATCCATTCAGATAATAGCAAGCAGTGGAACCAGAAAACTCCACTTAATTTACCCAGAATATTTAGGGTACGTTTAAGTATAGTTTAATAGATCCTGTCCAGCAGGGAAATTTTTACTGAGAAAAAAAAACCAAAACAAACCCAGGGCCTTTTATTAATAACTATCTACAGATGTCAGGAAGGAAAAGGTTTGTTCATCTGCCCATTTCCTCATTTAGTAAACTGGTCCACACCTGTGGGGACAAAATATAAAAGGATCAAAGCACCACGGCTAGAAACTTAAAGTTTTGGTTTCCTACTAATAATGGGCAACAAGAGCACAGGACACTGTTCTCTTGCCACACCATTCTTTTGGGCACTGTTCAATCCACTTCTTGATTCCAGCCTTTGCTTTCCCTAAATGCCAACATTCCAACAGGTGTGCCCAGGCCAATGCACGTTCCACTTTTCTGGGTCCTTTAATTTGCTATATGTATGCTAAACTAAACATGATTAATTGCAAAAAAATAATCTTTTCAAGAAACCTTCGTAACAAAATACCAGATTCCCCATTAATAAAAAGGGATCAGGTTTAACAGGCTAAATACACACAGATGGCACTGGACAGCTCTGACCTTGGGCCCCTGTGCTGAACAAGTCACTGGCAAAAGTCCAAGGGGTTAGGGCTGTATTAGTAGAGTCACACGGGACACTGAAGAACAGATCACTCAGTCGTCCTCTGAACTCTCGGCAGACCTCTCATCTGTAGCCACTTTCCAATTTGTGCGTTTGTTTGTCCTTTCCTGGACTTCACTGTTAGCTACAGGGATAGGAACTTTCTTCTCTTTCTTTTTCCTTTTGGTTTTCTTTGTATCTCTTTCTTGACTGTCCTCAGAACTGCTGGATGCTGAGTCATCTGACTGTGAAGTGTCACTTTCTGACTCTAGAAACAAAGCAGGCTTTTTGAGAGACTTTTTCCTGGACTTTTTCTTGCGCTTCTGTGGCTGCTTCCTTTTCCTGGTGCTGGAAGCCTCCGCTTCGTCTGAGATCTCACTTGAGGAACCTGCTGTTTCATCTGCAGCTTCCTTTTTGCTTTTCTTCTTTTTGTGTGACTTTTTTTTCTGCTTTTTTTTGTGAGACTTCTTTGACTTCTTGTGTTTGCGGGATTCATGGGTGGTTGATTTTTCCTGGGGAGATGCTTTTTTCCCATTGACAACATCTTGTTGATCACTACTAATAAAGTAAAAAAGAAACTTTTACTATAGAAAGGAAAAATGTGGTTTTTTTACATCTTACTATCTTACATTCTGGATAAGAAGTAACATTTTAATTTTAAATTTGCGCTTTAAATAGAGTCGTTCAGATCTGGCAACTAAGTAGTTAAGAAGTTGTGCTGCCAGTCCAAAGGCAGGCAGTTTAAATCTAACATGCTCTGTAAGAAAAATATGGGTAGTCTCCTCCCATGCTTTTTACTGCCTTTTGAAAACCCACTGGAAAGTCAGCTATGAATCAGTTCCAACTTGATGGTATACAACAAGAACAACAGATTTTACCTATTTTATTAACTGTTTTTGTTTTGTCTTTAAAATGAAAATAATCTGCCATACTGAGTTAATAAATATTAGTCAATTAGAGTCAATGATTTGAAACTCATACCTGACACTTCAAGTAGGTTTTCAGAAGCAATAAATCCCATGTGAGATTACCCATCTATCACCCATGGAGCAGGTGGTAGACTTAAGCAGCCTTCCTCTGAGACAGCAGCACAACTCCTTAACACTAAGTCACGAGAATTCCCTCTAAACATCAGGGAAAGGCAAAAATACATTGACTCATTTTCAACAAATGATATTCTTTGTGGATGTTAGGAACTCAAACTTTACAGCACACATACATAATTTCTCATACACACAACCCCCCTCCTGCCCCAATCCTCTGTCCCTTACCTGTCTGTCTCAAATTCTTCAGGATATAATTCTTTATAACCACTGTGACCCCATCTGTAATGTAAACATATTACACAGCATTGGTAAAGCAACATATACATTCTAAAAATTAGACTTAAAAAACAACTATGAGATACCATCTCACCCCAGTCAGAATAGCAAAATTTAACAGAACAGCAAGCAACAAATGCTGGAGGTTGTGGAGAAACTGGAATCCTTATTCACTGTTGGTGGGAGTGTAAAATGGTGCAACCACTGTGGAAGGCTGCATGGCGCTTTCTCAAAAAGTTGCAAATAGAGATAGCATTCGACCCAGCAATTCTACTACTGGGAATATACCCCAAAGAGACCATAACTGCCACCCAAGCAGATACATGCACACCCATGTTTATTGCAGCTTTGTTCACAACTGCAAGGAGTTGGAAACAACCTAAGTGCCCACCAACAAACGAATGGATAGAGAAGCTGTGGTATATTCACACAATGGAATACTATGCTGCATAGGAAAACAAGGAACTCATGCAGTATTATTCAAAATGGGTGAGCCTGGAGGACATTATGCTGAGTGAAACAGCTCAGTCACAAAAGGACAAATACTACATAGTGCCACTGTTGTAAAACAAGACTGAGATCGGGGTTAGGGGGAGACTGAGAAAGATGGGATAAATAATGTATATATACTGCACTGAAACGGAGGGAGAAAACTTTAAAAGGGATATGTGATTAGGTATTATTGTCATAACAGGAGTCCAACGAAGGCTGCATAATGGGGTGGACCTGGGGGGAGGGACTGTAAAACAATGAAATAATTTTACTTTTCAAAGAAAAGAATGAATTGAAGGGGAGGGGTGGACAAGGAGAAAAGTGCAACAATGAATGGAAAATCCAAAATCTCTGTAAATTTTCATTAAAATGAATAATAATGAAAATACTAGTCTTAAATGTATATGCATACACAAAGGAAAAGGAACCAGAGACAACAAAGTCAACCCTATTTCGTAGGACAGTGGTCTCGATGGCTACATTCTCTGCACTGCATACTGTCCTTTTAGGCTAAAGCAGTTTTTTGTCCACTTGTAAAACAGAACTTCTCCACTGTTAGGTGTCAGAGTTGACTCATAGCAACCCTATGCACAATAGCTCAACTCTGCTCTATCCTAAGCCAGTCTGTTTCTGAAATACCTACTCTCTTTACTCCAGTCACTGTGTCAATCCATTTCATCTCCTGGCTCTTTCTCTACCTTTCCAAGTATGATGTCCTTCTCCAAGTACCTCCTGACAACATGCTCAAAGTATGTCAGATGGTGCCTCAAAATTCTTGCCTCCAAGCAGCAGCTTGGTTTCACCCTCTCCAGGTCAGACCTGTTTGTTCTCTTGGCAGTCCATGGTATGTTCAATACTCTTCCCCAACACCACACTCAATGGCATCAATTCTTCTGTCATTACTGAGCTCTCAGATGCATAGCAGTAATTGGGAAGACCATGGCCTGGATTAAGTACACCTCAGTCTCTAGACTGACATCATTGCACTTTATCACTCTGGAGAGGTCCCTGACACTGGATTTTCCTAGTGGAAATTCATCTTTTGATTTCCTGACTGCCTGTGCCAAGAGTATTAACTGGGGACCCAAGCAAGCTGAAGTTGTTAACAATCTCAACCTCTTTTTCAACTATCATGGCTCAGTGGTAGAATGCATCCTTTACATGCATGAGGCCCTGAGTTCAATCTCTGACATCCTCAAGTGTCTTGTAAGAAACACTAAAGGACTGTTAACTCTTCTTTAGCTATGAAGCACTCTAACAAAAACACACCTCCTAGTCAGTGAAAAAAGACGACCTACTACACTCAAGTGAGACTGAAGTAGTAGCTGAAACATAGCAACAGTTATAAGGCTAGCAAAGAACCTAGTCATCATTGTACTTTGCTTCACTTGAGTCAGAACCTACTCCAGTGTACCTAATAATCTTTCTGAAGTTCTACTAAACTGGGGCTACATTTAAAAAATCGATTTACTGAGATATAATTCACACCTAGTAAATTCATCTTCTTTCAAATTCAGTAGATTTTAGTATATTCACAGAGTTGAGTAACCATCACCACTACAAGTATCAAAGCAAGTTTAGCATCTCAGAGAGAAACCCCATATCCATAAGAAATCACCCTCCATTTCTCCCTTCCTGGCAACAACTAACTGACTTTCTACCTGTGGATTGGCCTATTCTGGACATTCCACATTAACAGGATTGCTGTGAACTGGAACTAACTTGCCAACAGAGGGTATTTTTTGGTGGACAGACATCTCACATACATAAAGCTATAGTCTTCTGAGTCTAGCTTTTATCACTTGTGATGTATTAGTACTTTGTTTTTTATTAGCAAATTCTATTTCATTGTATGAATATAACATTTTGTTTAGCTATTCATCAACTGGTATGTATTTGGACTGCTTTGTATTAGCAAATTCTATTTCACTGTATAAATATAGCACATTTTGTTTAGCTAATCATCAATTGGTATGTATTTGGACTGCTTCTACTATTTGACAACTATGAATAAAGCGGTTTTGAATACATTTGTATACAAGTCTTGTGAGGACAGTTTTAAAAAGTATCTATCTTATATGGTGCCACTGTTGTAGAATGAGGCTGGCATTGGGGTGGGGGTAAGACTGAGAAAAACTGGATGAAATATGTTTACGGCATTGAAATCTATGGGGGAGAGAACAGTCTAAAAGTATTATATTTTAGGGCATTATTTTTATCGTAGGAGTATGCAATGAGGGTTGTAGAGTGGATTATATTTGGGGCTAGGGGATGGGGTTTGGGGAGGTGCGGGGGGATTGTGTACCAATGAGGGAGTTTTTCTTTTGCTTTTCAAGGAGAGGAGCAAATGGGGGGGGGAGGGGTTTGTGCGGGGAGAAGGGTGCAACAATGAATGAATGGAATCCCAAAATCTCTGTAGATGTTCATTGAAATGAAAAATAAACAACCTAAATTAAAAAAAAAAAAAGTATCTATCTTAGGGAGCTCTGGTGACCTAGTGGCAAGAAGCTGCACTGCAATCTCAGAGGTGCGCAGTTCGAGTCCACCAGATGCTCTGCTGAAGAAGGAGGGGCAATGTCCTCCTCCTGTACCAGTCAGATCTGATTTGATGGTACACACACACAAAATAATAAAATAAAGTATCTATCTTTAGGCAAGTATCTTTAAATGTCATCGAAATTTCATCACAAACCTGTCTGGCATGTTTGCTTCATAATCATATAATTTCTTGTTCCACGATTTAGCTTTAAGAAAATCATCTTCCAGTGTGCCAGAAATGTCATGCCTTGGCCTCCAGTAGTCCCTCTGACTTTCTTCATCAAAACCATCACTACGCATCCGACTGTAAGAGAAAGCAGAAAAGTACTTTTAGATTTAAGACTATCTGTGAAGTTACTCCACGGAACACTGTAACTCATGGACAAAGTTCATGGAACTTGCTAAAAGAAAAACAAAACAACCTGAATGTGTACTGTTTTAAGACATCATCTGTTCCACTCTCTACATCCGCAAACCTGTCTAATGAAACAACTGGAACACTTGCTTGGATTGGACATTACTGAGTCCTAAAAAAAAGAACAGACAGTAAAATACAGGGAAATCACGTCTGGATTGTGATATGCTATACCTGATTCTCAAGCAGAAGGGCACACAAAGAAAGAAAATATTCTGAAATAGTCTACTTTCCCTAGAAACTATCAATTCATTGTAGTATGTGGTCACAGTGGGACTAAGGCATAAACCATGGTTATCTTGGGCTAGGAAAAAAAATGGATAGTCTTTGGTCTAGCCTCTTTACACAATGTCCAGTAACTAGGCAGCAAATCATCAAATTGGCTATCAGAAATTCTTAAAGAGATCACTATGTACACTGTTCTAGCTTCTGGAAAGATGAGAAACCAGAGTGTCTGCCATTACAGTAGATTATATTTTGAAGGTTAGAGTCTACCTTAGTAGAGCTCTGATGGCCTAGAGATTATGTTCTAAACTTTATAGTTTACAGCTCTGGTGGCCTAGTGGGTAAGGAATTACACTGCTAACCCAAACTCAACACAGTTTGAATCTGCCAGCTACTTCTCAGGGAAAAAGACAATCTTCTGTGTGATTTACGACATCTGAAAACCCCTAAAGCATAATCCGTAAACTGGCTCTGTCTTAAAATAGAAATTATTTTGTTCCCAGAAATGCCACTTGGAATTGAACAACCTAGTATAAATCATCTATACTACATCTAACAATTAAAACTTTCAGAGTGAAAACAAACTCTGAAAGATTTTTCTGTTGGCAACCACCTTTTTACCATGGACACCCTAAATACTTGTCTAAAACAATTCACACACAACCAATCACATCCCAAAGTTCACATATACCATGAGTAGACACACTTTCCAAAAATACTGCCTTATTAACTACTGACTTGCCAAGATGCTTTAGAAATCAGGATTACTAAGATTTACTCACTTTTCACATTCACAGCTTCTACATTCAGGCCTATCATCCCCACGAAAATGTTCCCAACTCTCCAGATATTCCTGTACCTCAAAAAGTAAACTACAACCAAGTGAGCACAATCTTTTAAACTCATATTAAAACTAAGAAGGTAATGTAAAAGGCTATGTGAAGCAGCAAAGACACAGGTGAGGTACAGAAAAGCCTAGAAGGAGTCAGCTAGACAGTCACCACAAGGTTGTGTTGTCTTGGTTCCAACACATAGCAGCCAAAGGTACAGAATGAAACACACACAGTGCAGGACCATCCTCCCACCTGCTGCTGTGCTTGAGCACACTGTGGGAAACCACAGTATCAATCCATCTCAGGGAGGATAGGCCACATGGTAACAGCAAAAAATCTTAGAAGTCATTAGGCAGAAGTTATTAAAAATATTACAAGCAGAATTACTCCATCACCCAGCAATTCTACTCTTAGGAGAGACCTAAAAGACTGCAAGCAGGAATTCAAACAGACACACGTAGACCAGTGTTCACTGGAGCACTATTCACAGTAAACAAGACACATATAACCCAACTCTACATTCACAGAGTAACAGATAAATGTGGTGTATTTGAACCAAATCTCATCAAACCAAGTAAGTCAAAACACTGCCATCAGGTTGATTCTGACCCAGCAACCCTTTAAGGACAGGACTTCCTCTGAGGTTTCCCACATCTCTGTCCCAAAGAGTGGCCAGTGGAGTCAAGCTACTGTAGGAGATGGGTTCTTTAACCACTGCACCACTCTCAAAACTCACTGCCATCGAGTTGGCATTGACTCATAGCTCTACTGGGTTTTCAGAGGCTGTAAATCACAACTTTCTCTGGAGAGGACACTGGTGCATTCAAACTTCATTTCACCTCACATACTCTGGGAATGTTATCATGAGGGACCAGTCTCTGGAGAAGGACACACCAAGCTTGTAAAAGCAGAGTGTTAAAGAAAGACCCTCAAGAAAATGGATTGACAGTGACTGAAAGAATGGATGGGAGAACACGAGAGACTGTGAGGTATAGGAGCGGACAGAATCTTGTTCTGTTTTACACAGGGGCATGAGTCAGAAGTGACTCAAAAGCACCTAACAATTTACATGTGGGGTTCAGAATAGGCAATTTCACAGAGTGGAACAGAGAATACGAGGTCTGGGAGAAGGAGGTAATGGGAGTTCTTGTGTAATAATATGGAGTTGGGATGATTGGAAAAAAAATCTGGAGGACAGTAGAAGTGATGGTTTTACATAACATTGTGCACTTAATGTCACTCAATGATGCACTCATTAAAGTACTGGGAATCCAAAATCTCTGTAAATTTTCATTAAAATTAAGAACAAAAATTAAAAGAACAAATTTTAAAAAATTATTAAAGTAGCAAGCAAATGTTACAGCATTTTTATGTTCACATACACACACGGAGAGACAGAAAAAAGCCATGAGTCAAGACAGCCCTCAACATTTACATCTGTTCAAGTTAGAATTTTAAATCTGCCACTGCATTTTAAGTATAAAGAAAAGGGTTATCATAGCCATTACCTTTATGGTTGGACTAGATCAAGTTTAAAAAGAAAAAGCTTAAGGACTCACAGAACTGAATTCTGGATGTATATCATTCACCTTAGTATATCAACTGTTTTTAAACAACAGTTGACAATTCTGAAAAAGAAAGAATCATTTTACTTCTTAAAGCTTCAACTCTACCTTGAATTACCAGGCAACATTTTCCTTTTGGTTCCCCGGTAAGCATCTTCCATCTGTTTTTCTAGTTCTCTTATTTTCCACATATCTGATTCTTCCTGAATCTAGATTTAAAAAGAAAATAAGAAGTTGGATAAGAGGATATGAAAATGGTACTAACACTTTATATCATAATATAAATAAAATCTTCATTAATTATTTGATTACAACTACACCACTTCTCATTTATTGACACGGTTAGGTTCTAAAGACAGGTCATGTGAAATCACAGTGCCCACCGTGTCCCTGAAACTCATTCCTTGCCACCACAGAATCTGGGAATTGGGGCTGGTAATGTATTGTTTGCCTTCCACTCAGTGAAGTGATCCCACATTTGCTGGCTCTTGGTCCTCTTCTCATCTCCCTCATCTTTGGTCCCTTGCATGGCTCACCCAAGATTGCATGTCACCCAACAACTGCCCCAAAACTTTCTGGTCAGACTGAGACATCAAGTACAAATGAGAGGAAGTGTCCAAAAGTCAGATGGTCACTGGCCTTTGCATGTCACCATTGTCACCTGTGTTTCTAGTTTATCATTCGGGATGGCCCTCAAAGGACATCCCAAGGTAAGCACAGACCACTGGAGGTGACACCTGAGAATTTTTTCAAAATTGTCAAAAATATGTTGGCACCAATAAATGACTAGCAGATATAGATTATAACCAGACACTTAAAAATCAATTGTGGTTCTCTGTATAAAGAACTAGAGTTCTGTCCACAGATGAAGATCTTACTGTGTAGAGTTAAGCAATCAGACCAGTAAATACTGGTAAAAGCAACAGAATTTTTGAATCCCTGAATATACTGCCTATCACCTTCCCAATTTTTTAACTGGACCATAATTAGGAAATGATAATCCCATGTATTTCTAAGAAGCTTTACAATGTTAATCATCTCAATTTAACCTTAAGCAAATTATGAGAGAACTAAAGCAGGTACCATTATTACAATTTATTAAAAAGGAAAAAAAAGGTGGTAATAAATGATTTGACAAAATTAAAGAAAACTAGTAATGACAAGCCTTTAAATTCCAGCCTAAATTTCTTTTCACATCATACTTCTTGTCAAAAGTATAGCAAAATCGGCTGGTCCCAGTGCAATGGAGGCCACAACTAATTGATCATAGCCAGTTACAGATTTCTTTGTTCCTTCTCCACTACCACTGCTTCACTTGACCAGTCTTAAAAAAAAAAAAGTACAGCAAAATAAACTTTTATGATTGCTAGAGAATTTTTTGAAAAGCAAACAACTGACCAAAGACAAAAATATCTTTCAGTTCTAAGACCTTTTAGATAATTTTGTAAAATCTGTAGTAAATCTTTCTTAGCTACCACTTTCAATTCTAAGTGCACCATACAACTAGGAGTGGTTAACATAATCTCAGGGGCTGTTCTCATGAGTTATACCACAATCAAAAAATCTGGTGATATGACAGTAATAGCATTTATGATCAAACCAAGAGCCTCAGAGCTCACTGAAGAAAACCAAACATGGATCCTTGGCCTTAGATGATTTTATTGGTTCTCATGACCTCTAATCTGTTGTTGGTAAGTGCTGTCCAGTGATTTCAACTCATAACAATCCTATGCTGCTTCTATAGGGTAGTGTAGCCTCACAAGGTTTTCTAGGCTGTTATGTCTATGTTATTGCTGTTGTTATGAGCCATCACAGTGCCTGTGACTCATAGTGACCGTATGTACAACAGCCCTAAACCCTGCTCTATTCTGTGCCAATCTTACTGTCTGCAACACAGTTACCCCCATTACCAGTCACTGAATCAATCCACCTCATAGAGGGTCCTCCTCTCCTGCGCTGTCCCTCCACCCTCCCAAGCATGATGTCCTTCTCCAAGGACTGGTCTCTCTTTGCAACATGTCCAAAGTATGTCAGATGTAGCTTCATAATCCTTGCCTCCGAGGAGCAGCCTGGTGTCACCCTCTCTAGGTTTGTTCTCTTAGCAGTCCATGGTATATAGTCTCCTCCAACACCACAGCTCAAAGGCATCTATTCTCTTTCTATTGCCCCTAGTCATTGTCGAGTTCTCTGATGCATAGCAAGTGATTGCAAAGACCATGGCCAGTATCAGGTGCACCGTAGTCTCTAGACTGACATCATTAATCTTCAGTACCCTGGAGGGGTCTCTGACAGCACTTTCCCATTGGTACTAGGGATATTGTAGCTAATGCTAGATGGATCATGGCTGAAAGCAGGGAGTACCAGAGGAATGTTTATCTGTGCTTTATCGACTATGCAAAGACATTTGAATGTGTGGACCACAATAAACTGTGGCTGACTCTTGAGAAGAATGGGACACTGCAAAAGCATACATTGCTTGGCCAAAGCCATCAACCAGACTGCAGCAGCTTTGTTTAAAATTGACAAAAGGAGCATTGAAGACTGTCTTAAAGAATTTCTAGTGCTTGCATCTTTCAGTCTTTTGAAAATTGGCCAGGAGACAGATAAAACTACAAGAAATAGAGAATCTGTTTACTTACTGCTAGATATGATTGTGCAAGAATCCCCATTCCTCTCAATGGATCTTTTGGAATCTTGTTTTCCTTATGTCTTGCTAAGAAATGCACACTGTCTACAAGCAAAGTGTTATATTTTCTGCATACATTATCTACTATTAAAAAAAAAAGCATGCATTTTTGTTGCCTCAGTTTTACCTGTAAACTGTGGAACTATTTCACCTTGCAGCCTGAAAAAGAGTTTTGTGGGTTATAAATTTCTTTCATACAGGTGTATTTTCTGATCATTGATTTCTTAATATAGTTGTTCTACAATAAAAACTTGGCTGAATAAAAAATACAGAAGAATGGGAATCCCAGAACACTCGATCATGCGTATGCAAAATCTATATTTGGACCAGTAGGCAGTCGTCAGAATAGAGCAAGGAAACACTGCATGGTTCAAAATTGGGAAGGGTATACACCAGGGGTGTGTCCTATCTCCACACCTTTTCAATCTACATGCAGAACAGATTATCCGGGAGGCTGGGCTCTATGAGGAGAAATGTGGCATCAGGATTGGAAGAAGACTCATTAACAATTGTGTTATGCAGCTGACACAATCCTGCTTGCACAAACTGAGGAGGACCTGAAGTGCTTGCTGCAGAAGGTCAAGGACTGCAGCCTTGAACATGAATTGAAGCTCAATATCAAGAAAACAAAGATTCTCACCACTGGGCCGAACGGCAGCCTCGATATAGATAGAAGAGATTTGAGATTGTTAACAGCTTTAGTTTGCTTGGGTCCACAATCAACACTCTTGACACCAGCAGCCAGGAAATTAAAAGACAAATTGAGTTGGGAAAGTCTGCTGTCAGAGACCTCTCCATAGTTATCTCTATAGCCTGGAAAATTTAGTAGATTGCCAGGCCTGTGTCCCACTGAACAGCTATCAAATCAATAACTCCCAAAGCACTATGCTGAGTCTCAACTTTTCTCCTTTCCTCCAACTATGATTTTCTAATTGTTTGGCTACCCTAAAAGCACCTCAGTAAACCCGACCAACTCATCACCTTTCCCATGGCATCTGTCCCTTTTCTTAGTGTCCACTTTAGATAATGCTATCATCATCCACCCAGTCAACACAAACTGGTTATAGTTTATGTTGTTGTTGGTTCTGTTGAGTCGAGTATGACTGACAGAAACTCTATGAGCAAAAGATATGAACCCTGTTCTATCCTGCACTCACACTTCCTGACCCATTAGACCCAGAGCCCCAGTCTATGTCAATCCACCTAGAAGAGGGTATTCCTGTCCTTTGCCAACCTTCCCAGCATCATGTCCCTCTCCCAGGAATAGCACCTCCTGGCAATATGCCAAAAGCATGTGAGGCAAAGCCTCATCATTCTTGCCTCCAAAGAGCACTCCAGCTGTACCCTCTCCAAGACTTATCTGTTCATTCTCTTGAGCATCCATGAGATGTTCAATGTTCTCTTCTGCAACCCTACAGCTCAAAGGTGTCAATTCTTTTTCTGTCATTCTTATTCACTGTCCTGCTCTCAGATGAAAAACAAGTGATGAGAAAGACTATGGCTTGACCTAGATGCACCTTAGTTCTCAAACTGAAATCATTATTCCTCAGTAATTTGGAAAGGTCCTTAACTGCAGATTTTCCTAGTGCAATGTGTCTCCTTATTTCCTGACTGCTGGTACCAAGGGTCTTTACTGTGGATCCAAGCAAGATGAAGCTGTTGACAGTTTCAATCTCCTTTCCATCCATCATGATGCTGCCTATAGGTCCACGGGTAAGAATCTTTGTTTTCTTGACATTGAGATCCCATCCACACTGAAGGCTACATACATTTCTTGATCTTCTGTAGCAAGTGCTTTAAGTCCTCCCCACAGTCAGCAAGCAACGTTGTATGATCTGCATGAAGTCGCTCTAATTCTGATACCACATTCCTCTTTACAGAGCCCAGTTTCTCTGATAATTTGCTCTACATACAGATTGAGTAGGCCTAGAAGAGATTACACGCCTGATGCACTCCCTCCTCAATTTTAAACCAATAAAAGTCATCAAGGTCTTTAGGTTCTATATCTTAATTCCTCTTCTTCATCACTACTGTTATTATTCTTTTTAAAAAAAAAAATTCGGATTTTTTTTGTTCATACTATTTTCCTTATAATCCTTCCCATACACTGTCTTACAAAATTAATCACCATTGATCTATGCCCCTTTTTACACCAACTTTTCAGATCCCCACTGGGTCTTTCCTAATTCCTTCACCCTCTCTCTCCGTCAAAACACTGTGACCCCTGATACCCTCTACCCCTTCCCTTTTTGGATTACTTTCACTTGAACTCTCAACACCTTCATTTGGATTACTGCAGCTGCCTCCCAACTGATCTCCCCACAGGGGTACTACCTATCCAGCTAATAAATCACCCTTCTAAAATATGACTGTTTGAAAGCCTTACTTTAAATATGTTGTTGTTATTGTTACGTGCCGTTGAGTCGTTTGCAACTCATAGCAACCCTACGTACAACAGCCCTAAACCGTGC